TTTTTTTTTTTTTTTTTTTGTTTAGACATTTGTTAAAAGCTAATGAATAAATAAACACTCGAGTGTTTTGATGTTTCATCCATCGTAATTAATAAGTTCATGCTACAACCACATTTTAAATTGCGAGCCCCAACTGAAGCGTCACATAGAGGGAGTGAAGGCAGACCGCTGAATGAAATGTAACCCAAAACAATAAGATCAAAGGGCAGTGTTGTGCTACTAATCTTTAACGGATTACGTTGATGTTTACAGACTTTAATGTGTACAACTTTCCCAAACGAACTGCTATATACACAATATTCTTTACATCATTATTTGCTTCTCCAAAAATAGATTTTTAAAAGTTTGAGTCTATAACCTTTGCCAGATTTTTGATGCAAGAAAAGGTCGATTTGTATGGTTGAAGCAACCTAAACTAGGCATTAAAAAAGTACTAGCGGAATTACTTTTGTACAATTAATCAAACATTCGTTGTTATATTGAAAATACTGAAGCCTGCAATGTAATCTAAAAGATACCAACCGAAAAAAAATGCGGGTTAAAAGTAAGACGCCTAAAATGGCAGCAAATTTTTTGCCTGTCGATAAGCGAGCGTAAACTAGTTAGAGTTGAAATCGCAGTTTTTTCCGTAAAATATCAACCCATAAAAACTTGTTTTTAAATTATTAAACGTTAGTTCCTAATGATTTTCTTGCATAAGTGTCTTTTAAATATTGCATACTAATAAGTATTTTTTTTATTACTTTCCATAAAAGTCATCTCAGTATAATAAAGGTATTTCAAGAAGGTAGGAACAGTTTACCGAAGGGTAACCCTAGGAACAGTTGGTTTTTTCAATAAGGGGTTTAAAAGAGGAGATCGTGGAGAATCATTTTACGGCATATCGTATACTTTTTTCACTCGATATCTATTTTTTAACTTTGCTGGCTGCTGAGACATGACTAGAAATTTAAAAAACTGCTGAGAAAGTATGGAAAAATAGCCTTCTCGCCAAGCTATATCAATTCAAAAAACAAAATCTTCCTAAATTTTTGTACAGTCACGTTCACTTTAACGGTATTTGCTTTTTTGACTTGTAGGCGCAATTTAGTACCCTATTTCAAAGCGGACGAATTTACTGCCTGACGGAGTTGGAAGCTACTGAGGTAACTGAAGATTTAGAAGAGACTGGAAGGCGGTTGAGTACCAAAAATCCAAAGTTAGTTTTGGAGGTTATAGTGAACTGAGAAAATGCTTAGCTAAGAGCGGCTGACGGGAATGCTGAAAAAGTCCTTTATGTTTATAATAAGTTGCTATCACTGAAATTTTTGTCTTGTTATAAGAGAGTTATTGTTAACTTTTAGTTTAATAGAGCCGAAGGCAATTATAGAACTTGGAACTGAAAAACAGGGTTGAAAGAAATGATCTAGCAAGAGACGGTAATGCAATTTTTCCTCTGAAAAAATGCGATTATTGAAAGAATTTTGCAGAACGCTGATAGAGAACCGAATCGGGCAAGTCTAGCGTGTATTAGTGAAATCATCCACCCAGGGGTTGTCCGTTGGTTTCCGCTGTTCTTGCTCAACTTACAATTCATTTTCAGGAAACCGACTCCTGTGAGAAATCGCATTGGAATCGTCAACCTTGATTAAACTCAGCAGTTACATTTCCCAATCTGACTGAGACCTTTATTCGGAACTTTTTTTACTTCACGGAGAAAAAATTTATGAAAATCTTGCCTTTAAGAAGTTAAAGATAGCTTTATAAAGCCTCACATATTTTAAATATTTTTAACTGAAATTAAAACTTGTGTCATACAGATATTATTTTGAGTCTGGAAGATTAATACAAGTTATTCTCTCCTTAGATGCAGAACTAACTAATTTCATAAATTAGTAACAAAGTCAGGAAACCTAAAATAAGATCCAGTGAAGAAGCAAATGAAAAGTTTTCCAACTTTGTTAGATTTTAATTGGTGAGAAATTTACCGTCCGTAGTTCTCTCTTTAGTTTTGCAAATTCAAAGCTGGACCGCACTAACAAACAAAATTTCAAGTAACTTATAGCTTTTAACTGAAAAACTGTGTAATTCAGCGTAGAACCACCCTATATGTTTCTCTTATTATCCGGAAAACCTTAAATCTAGCTTGTTCTATTTTCTCTTTCTCGAAACATTTTATAACAATATAATGAACTAAAAAATCTTCTAGCTTTTACAACAACAAAACCTGAAATGTTTCAGTAAATTATACTATCTTTACTCTTCCGAGCTTTCCACTTGGAAAAGTACCATTTAGACTTCATGAGGGTGCAAATGTGACCAGCTAAAGGCACCTCTAATGAAGATGAGGATGAGCGAAAGCTTACGAGGAACATAAGGAAACATATGCAGTTGGAGCAAAAAGATAAATGCTTTAATAAATAATTAGAATTTTTTGCCAGTTACCTTTACTCTATTATTTGCTCGGCGTTCTCACATTTTAGCATGTTTGGTAAACAACAGAAGAGCTATTAAGAAGTTGTGAAAATAAGGTGCCCCCAGGTAGACCAGAATAGATTAGAAACGCACGCCTTGCTGGTGTCTTTAATTTTTTAAAGGGCTACTTTTCGTTCTGTTGCCCCTACAACCTGGTACTGAAGGAAACCAGCCAAGCTAACTTTGCTTGCCAAAGAGCCAGCTGACAATTCAACAGCCACAGTTGACCCTCTTGTCTACCACTCTAAACGAACTTGGTGTTTGAACAGCAGCCGTAAAAATGCATGCTTTATCCACATCGAGAGCGGTTAAATTAAGCAATGCCAGAATTCATATTAATTTACTCACTTCAAGAAAATTTCTGAGCTGCAATAAATGACGAAAAATTTAAACTCTGCGTCTGAAGCTACAAGGTCGTTGCAGTTCGGGTATTGGCTCCTTGCCGAAAAATTTGTTACCAGAAAACTTCTCTAGTTCCCATTGGAATTAGCATCTGAGTGATCGTCGTGATCGTTGCCGTTTCGCTACACTGGGGGATGCTTCTGCTACGTTATTTTTTTTTTTACCTATTTTAAGGATGTGGCCAAACAGTTATTTTCTTTAATGCTTTCCTCGCGGAGAGGTCGGCTTAAATTGCTTGCTGACTGGGGTTTTTGTAAAATAAAGTTTTGGTCTCAATTTGGGGTACAACAACTCTGCTTCTATAACCGCCGAATCTATTATTCATGGTTCTGATAGTTTCCAATAAAACATTTTTACTGATTTGGATAATTTTGAAGTTATGATGTTGACTGTGACAGGTGGACTGGAGGGTTTTAAACTTAAAAGTCATTGCAAAACTCGTATTTGATTGTGCGTAGTTGCGGCTTTCTGTGAATAGCGAGAACAGTTCTCTGAATCACAAAACGTCGTTTTTGCTCCCCTTCTGTATTGAATTTATAACTGCTGTTTGGTTTTCAGTGGAAATGTCTGACGCCGGAAGAAGTCCTGGACGTTCCGCACGGGCTGGTGCTGGAGGTACAGTCCGCCAACGTCGTACTGCAGCGGCTGCCACAGGTAAATTCCGGTTTTTTTTTCTTGGTTCAACAGGTTAATCAGTAAGCAGAAAAAGGTTTCCGTGGTTTTTGAACTTTTCTTCTATCACAGTTGCTCTGTTTAAGCGTTATTAGTTGATTCTGCTTAATTCTTGTATACTTTCTCATTGTCGTCATATTGTTATTTAGACAACATGAGACATTTGTTAATTAATGCTTTTTACCGGGAAGTCATTTCAGGTCGGTCAGCCCGGTCTGGCGGCGGAGTAAATAGCGGTGGTCTGTGGAGATTTTATACGGAAGATGCAACAGGACTTAAGATTGGACCTGTGCCCGTACTTGTAATGAGCTTAGTCTTTATCGCTTCTGTATTTATACTTCACATTTGGGGCAAATACACCCGTTCACACCACTAGTTGGTTAAGGACATCAGTCGTTCAACATGGATTCCGTCCCCGTTTTTATGGGCAGCCAGCTGAATGGTGTGGAAGATATATTTATTTTTAAATTATTTTTTGTTACTTGACGTGTCTGTTATCTTCGTGTTTTTCTTGTTTTGTTAATGTTGCTGTAATCAAGGATCTATAATGAAATTCTACACAGAACATTTCCGAGGAAATTGAGCACGTTTGCTGATGTTTTTTTCTTTAGCCTTGATGAAGTTAAGGATAAGATTGAGTGTGAAAAGACGAGCAGCTATTTCTTTTGTTCGCTTTTTTTAGAAATTACATGTGGACTGATAACTGGGTTTCTGAATCATTAAATTTGGTCATCCGTCTGCGGTGGTCTTGTTCAAATTTTAAGTCTTTCTTAAAGCGGCATTTCCAGTTGTGCCGCAATAAAGATCTAGAAATTGCTAGCGACAGTAAAGAAAGTGTACTTGTTTACCACTTTCCGTAAAATAAGGACTAGTTAAAGCCAAGCATTATTACTAGCAGTTCACCGGTAAGCCACTCTGTTCAAATTAGGTATTGTAACTTGGTACCTCATTTTATGGCTAACTCAAAAAATCAGTTACTGGCTGTGTGGAAATTGTGTCACTTTCGTTCGTCATGTTAGTTTGTCGTTGTGAAGCTGATCAAGTTGTGAAACATAAACCGTTTATGCAGTCGAGTCTCGCTAGTCAACAGTAATCGGACAAATTTTTTAAAAAGTGTAGAGGAAATCCAGTAAGCAAAAATAGATGCTGCAAAGGCTTTTTTACTGACAGGGTCGCTTCGTAGAAGAATAGCGGTAATGAGGAGGTAGATGTTGAATCTGGGTACTGCTGACAGATGCTGAACGTTTGAGTCGGTAAGGAGTAAATTATTTGTGGACGTAGCGTTTTTAGGTGCAAGGCGTAAATTAATCAAATGTTTTGCATAGGTATGAGGCAGGGCTTTCAAAGGTAGCTATTTCGTAAAGTCAGTTGCTACAAAAGTTTTATTCAGCTTGGCAAAGTTACAGGTCTTCGGCAATGTTGTTTAAATAATTTACAGCAGTTTCTAAAATTAGTTCTGGTGGGATGAGTTTTCTGCGTCGACTTATACATGATCCCGGAGACCTGAGCGTAGAGTCATTGAGTGTATTTGTATAATGATTTCGGGCAGGTTACAAAAAAAATTCGCTTAAACTAAACCTAAGTGGATTTTTGGATGGACATAAAGTACTTTATGAGTCATATCATTGTCGAAGAAGTGCCGAAGTTAAGATTCGTTCAGCAAGATGACTCTTCTCACAACATTTCTGAGGTCTTCATAACAGGATTTGCAGATGATATAGTGAATTCTCTTCATTTTATAACAAGGTAACTGAAATTTGATAAGCGACGCAATTTATTTGACCTGTAAAACCACTTCATAATATAAGACTTGTAAAAGAAAGTAATAAGACAGGATTTTTTAAAACTGGAACTGGCTTTTTATGATCTGTTGTGCTCGATAATTCTTAAAAATTTAATCCTTAGTCTTTTTATATCTTCTGTTTACATCATCAAGGTAAATAGCTTTTTGCTGCTGCAAACTCCTTCCAGAAAAATCCCTTCATGCTATTTTTGTTTTATAAGCTTCACCAAAAAATTATTTTGTAAGATGTCCACTATTGTCTTTGAACCTGACAGGAAAAAATAAGGGTCAAATTATGCGGAATTCTAATCCTTTTTTCTCTCGAAATGAAACTTACCTGCCAGATATTAGTATACGTGTTAGAAATTAATCATACAATAAATGTATTGTCCAAGATTGTCCAAAACCATAGTGAAAAGTACAGTTTGAACCATCTTAGTTTGATAACCGTGAAATTAAATTTAACTTTTAAAACTGATCGAGGACAGCATCCGCAGCAACTACTCAAAATTACTGGGATTTTCAGTCCTTAGCTAGAAATCTAAAGCTTTTATTACTGAAAATCACAACTCCTATTTATTTACCTGCAGAATAATGTTCCTCCTTTGTGCAAAGTTACTTAGTTCCTCCTTACAAGCACACCTATCTCCCTTTAATGCATTCTTCCACTCCGCAAAAATAGTTATAGCCTGCTTTCCCCTGTAAAATTTCTTATTTTTGATTGGCGTTGGTTTTTCTAAAAACAGAATAAAGATCTGAAAAATATTTTTGAAATATTAGTACCTCAACTTTACTGCAATATCCCCCCTCTCGATATTTGGAAGTACCTGCCCTTTCAGCATACATAACAGTGAGATCGTGTTACCAAACAATTTCATAACTTTCTAAATACACTTCTTGTTCGCTTACCAAATGCGTTTTGCAGTTAGACGTGTATTTTCATGTCTCCAAAATGTTCTGTTTAAACAGCGGCTCATAATCAGCCTCAAGCATCAGACTAACCTTAAAGGGTTTAAAGTTGCAGCCTTATCGAGTCAAATGGTTACTGTAAATCCTCAAGGTCGCTTATAAAAAGTAACAAGTAAGTTTAAGCCCCAGGTCCCGTTCAAAAAACCTCAATTAAAGATCTAAAAAAATCCTATAAAACTCTACATAAAAACAAAGTCTTTAACAGAAATCAAAAACAGAAGAATATTTATTACAACCTAGGGGTCTCATTTACATGACCTCGTGATGCTCTTAACCGGTAGATGCGCGAGGTGATTGAAAAAATTGAATGTTATATGTCAAAAGTGAATTCAACAACTAATCACGTGTTGGAAGTATGGGAGCACATTGACAAAACCTTCCTGTAAATGTCTTAGTATTCGTGGTGCATTCTAACTTGCAATTAATCGACAAAACAATGAAAGTTGGAGATGTAGGAAATATTATGAAGCATATCGTTTCAGAGATAGAAGTCAAATCATGATAACGAAACACCCGTCAAACATGGATAAAACCGTCTGCCCATTCCTTCCGCCGCTTTTTTTCTTTCTTTTGAGATTATCATCCCACCTGATCTCGTAATTTTTGAAGTGCACAAGACGTCAAACAAGCTAGTCCTCCACGCAGACGACTGACGGCTTTCAACTAATCAAACTTTCTTCCTCCTAATTCTACATTCATAGAAGCTGGCAGTACACAAAAACTAGAAAACCCTGTACAGAACCTGTATTACGCACTACAGTTAATAGCTATAAAGGCCAAGACAAGATCGGTTTACACAGAAAGTATAATTAAAAGATTATGGCATTTTGTCAATTCGATTGGCATAATTCCAAGTTATGGTTATTTTCCTTCTTATTAATAAATTATTAGATGGGGATTGGAATTTGGTAGAAAAGCTTTAGATTTTTTCTTACGTAGTTATTTTGTATATTAATTGATGCAACTTTCATTACTTTTTGAGTACTGTTTTTTGTCATCGTCCTTAACTTGATGGCTACTATTTTTGTTACTCCTCGCACTCTTTTTTTGATTGGTAAAAAGCCATATAGAGTAAAATACGAACTAAGGTTTTGAATTTCGTAGTGTCATAATCGTTTATCCTTTACAGCTAATTGTCTTCTTTTTTTTTTTTTCCATTGCAGGGGATTTATTTGTAGGTACATTATTAGGAATGTTTTAGAACAATTTTTATAATACTTCTAGGCTGTGTAGCATGGAACAACGGAGTGAGAAGTTTGGCGACTTTGGACCATCGAGGAAAAGGAAGAAGAAGCTGCTGCGCACTGCTGGAAAAGTAAAGTTCTTAAGTTTGTTAAGAAAGCTTTTTATTGTGCCACGCCGTTTTACTGTAACTTAACTCTGAACATCAATGCTATTTTTAGAAAGTTTTTTTATGCTTTTGAGAAATAAGGTTTTTTGAATTAATATTCCGTCGTTTGAGGGGGCTATTTTAAAAAATTACTGTAACAATGAGATGACTGTAGTTTGAAGTTGAATCTTTAAAGTCATATCCCTTCAGATTTTTTAAGGAAAGTAAAACAATTCTTGATTAGAATGGTAACTTAAAGTTTTGAGGAATTTTTGGACAATCGTCCTGTAAATGGTGACGCTCTGTTGGATCCTAAACTCAAGAAAAGGAAAAAACATTCAAAATTACTGTCTCAGGTGAGTAATTGTGCTCTTCTATTCAAAGTGGTTTACCCAAAAAGCAGTACGTCTTGACATTCTGTGATAATCGAAATTCTTGATTTCATTAAGTTCTGAGATTTTAGATATAGTTACATGGGCTTAAATCCTGTTGATTTTTGCAGAGGACGAGTTCTCATCCAGTTAACCCTATTTCAAACATCGCAATGGAAGCGAAGAAGGACATCGAAATTGAGGTATCGCAACTCCTTTTTTATTTTGAACTGCGCATCATGCTGCGTCAAGACTTCATTTTGTGCTAATTAGAGGTATTTTATGAAACAGGTATATGCTGTAGGTTAATCAATGTTTGCCGCACCGGGTCAATCAGCTTTTCAGGTCAGTGAAGAAGATAATCCAGAAGAAGGTGATTTAAATGTTGGAAAACCTTCTAAGAAGATAAATTTTGATGAATTTCTTGGTGGTAGTAAATCAGGTATTCATATCTCTTCCTGGTTTAGATGTACTGTGGCGAAGAAGGTGGAATTTTTAGTAGAATTTTGCAAGAATATCTTGCTAACTTCTTTTTTGGATTTTCTTGGAAGCTAACTTTGTTATTCCTCTCAATTTTACTTCTCTTAATGAGTCTATATTTAATTTTAGACAGTGATGTAGATCAAGACGACTTTTCTTCTGCTGAAGATGATTCAGTTGACTTGCCTATTGAAAAAAAATCAAAAAAACTTCTTAAAAAAGCGGCGGAAGATAAGTTAGTTTTTATTGCTGCAGTGTTTCAAAGTGTAAAATTTAACTATTTACACAGCCCTAGTAAAATATCATAACCTTCAATTTTTCTCGGAGTATGAGGTAACTTTTTATTTGGGAACCTTTTTGTAGGGCTTTAGCTGATGAAGAAGAAGTTCGCTTAAATGTTGTGGACAGTGCTGCTTTTCGGTTACCATCTGGTGAAGAGATTAAGAGTGAACTGAGGACACCTGCAGATCTCGATCTAGTTAAGCAAAGAATTACAGATGTGATGCAAGTTCTGGGCGATTTTAGAAAACGACGAGAGGAAAATAAGTAATTGTACTACTATTCTGAGGATCTTTTGTTTAGCTTCATATGAATTTGCAGGGCTGGCTACTTGAGTTAATATTATGATTTAAGTTTTTGTTTATATCTGCATTACTGAGAATACAATAATGTTTAAAAAAACAGATTTTTAGATGTCGAGATGACTACATGACTGTTTTCTTGAAGGACCTTTGCAGTTACTACGGCTATAATGAATATCTTATGGGGAAATTTATAAATTTATTCAATCCCACTCAGTGGGTTAGATGTTTTATTTACTTCGTACATTTCATTTTATTGATTTGCTTTGGTTACAGTTCCTTTTGAAGTTACCAATCATCGCCATTATTAGTTCATCACTAAAATGTGCGTTTGCCATTTTGAATGATTGCCTTCAGAAGGCCTTTTTTTTTATCTGAGTTTTTACTTATGTTAAATAGTTTCAGTTACTGGAGTTTTTGGATGCTAGCGATGAGCCTAGACCAGTGACAATACGCACCAATGCTTTAAAAACGAGACGTGGAGATTTAGCTAAAGCTCTTATTAATAGGTTGTTGAAATAAAATATTGAGAATTAACGTAAATATTGAAAATTTATGAGTCACTTATGTCTCGCTTGCGTTTAGAGGCATGAACGTAGACCCTGCTGCAGAATGGACAAAAGTCGGTTTAATTGTGTATGATTCTCAAGTCCCAATAGGTAGTTATGCTCACTTTTCAAGTTTCTGTGTTATTTCTACCCTTTTTTGTGAAAAAAAACTTAAAGGTGCGACTCCGGAATATCTTGCTGGACACTATATTATCCAAGGGCTTAGTTCTTTTTTGCCTGTTATGGCTTTAGCTCCACAGCCGAATGAACGGGTGTTGGATATGTGTGCTGCTCCTGGTGGGAAAACTTCTCATATTGCAGCTCTGATGAGAAATACTGGTGTAATATTTGCAAACGATTCCAATGTTGGTATTATTTATTGCATAATTTTTTGAAGCTTTGATTATTCGTTCATATTATTAATTGCTTTGGCTGATACGGTGCTGTTTTACTTGCTCTTCTCAGTGATTTGGATGGCGAGGAAAAGAATATCTAATAATTTATAGATAGTTCGATGCCGTGCTATTATTGGCAACCTACATCGTCTTGGGGTAGTTAACGCTGTGGTAAGCAACCTTGATGGAAGAGAGTTCCCAAAAATTGCTTATCAGAGTAGGATCTTGTAAAATTACTTTTGCTCTGCGTGTCGTTGGGGTGAAGCTGAATGTTGTTTAGCCTTTTTCTGTATTTCTATGCCTTGAGAATTTGTTTTAGGTTTTGACAGGGTTCTTTTGGATGCCCCTTGCTCAGGTACAGGAGTTATTTGGAAAGATGAAACAGTGAAAAGAAACCGTGATAGTCAAGATGTGCAGCGTAGACACACTTTACAAAGGCAATTGATTCTTGCGGCATTAGACTCGATTAATGCAAGTTCGAAAACTGGTGGCTACCTTGTTTATTCAACGTGTTCAGTGCTGGTAAAATAATTCCTTATTTTTTTGATGCTATGTGAAAACGAGTTTCAATCAACCACAAATTGCTATTTTTTTCAAGGTGGAGGAGAATGAAGCAGTTGTAGATTATGCTCTTCGTAAGCGTGATTGTAAACTGGTTCCTACTGGCCTGGACGTTGGTTTACAGGGATATACAAGGCAAAATTAAATTTTCTGATTGTACATTATTGGCTTTTTTTTCTGGATTAATGTTTTTGAGTTTATTTGTTTGCAAAAGTTTTTTCCGAAAAAGTGATGCAGTAAAAGTATTGAACTGTTTACAAGTGTTTTTGGTAACTATTTTGAAGTTTATTTAGGTTTATTTTTGTCATACTAATTTTCATCTTTTTTTAAGGTTTCGTGAGTATCGTTTTCCTAAATCGTTGCGCTTGACTCGGCGTTTTTATCCACATATCCATAATGTAGACGGTTTTTTTGTGGCTAAGATTAAGAAGCTATCGAATGCGAAAAGTGAAAAGGTAAAGAACTATTCTTGGCTCTGTTATATCTTAAAAATTCTTTAAAGGTTTATTAAAGCGATTTTTTTTTAATTTTAAATTCAGAGTTTCTCATAGCTTGCACTGCATATCAAAAGGCCAATTTAGAAATGTTATTTAAAATTGCTTTTATTGCTCTTTTTACCTGATCTGCTTTTCCAAGTATTTATTGGTCATTTGTATTCAACTCCTTTGAGCTTTGGTGTTGAGAAAATAATGATATTAAGGAAAAAGATGCTGGAGAATCTGTAGAACGAGCTGAGAGTACCACAGAAATAGTAAAAGAGGAAGCTTCTGGAAAACTGCAAAAGTCAGGAGAGGCTTCAAATGAACCAGAAAAGTCAAAAGGTTCTGCTTCTACAGTTTTAATCCACCACGGTATATTAGGCCTAAAATAAACTGGTTTAGAACATTATGGTGAAAATTTTATTTCAGAACCAGGACTTCTAAAGCGACGGAAGAAGAAGGGAATTTCTAAGAAGGTTGTTTTCTTTTTTCTTACCATCGTTCTCCTAGCTATTTATGGAATTATCACTTTTTTTTAGAAGAAAAGAGTGGCTGCTACAGACGATAAGCTGACAAAGGGGAAACATGAACGGAAAGAAACCGCAGTTCTTGCCAAGAAATTAAACTGGCAAAAAAATCTGAGCTCGAAAGAACGTTTCAAACTGAAAAGAAAAACCAAAGTTGGAGTTAGAGTGTAAAGTGAAGAGTAGAGCCGAACTGCTCGTAAAAATTCTTTTCTGAAGTATTTGGGTACAGTATTTCAAATTAACTATGAGAAAGTTTGGAGCAGAGTAATTTATATAGTGATGTTCTAAAAATTATCTTCTGAAAAAGCTGTTCTTTTTGCTCAAAATCTTAAGTGATTTTTTTTCTTGTGGATTGTTGGTCACTTTCGTTGTTGTTGGTTGTTGTTTTCCTTCTTTTTTTTTAATTGTGATCAGCTCTGCATGTTTATTTAGACGGCTTAAATTGTTGTTAGATCTGTCATTTAATGCGAGTAATTACTGTTACTTTTGCAATTTTGAGATTGTCTAAAGCTGTTTAGCTAATTTACCGTTGTTCTAATCTCCTGCTCTCCAACTTTTTACATTTCTTCACTTTTGTTTCGTATTTCAGCCAATTGTGGTTCTTTTTTGCATTTCTTTGAGATGCTCTTGGCTTTGTTTAGTTGTAAGATAGCTTTACAGTGTTGAAAGCAGGATAATTTTTGCTTTTTAGGGAGAGGGAGGTAGCGAGGAAGGTCCAAAATATGCATTCAAATTTTTTGAAATCAAATTGTTTCAAGTTGCTTTTCTTCTTTTGTTATTGTTTTCAGAAATGTTCTGTTTAGCTTTTTTTATTGCTAGTAATTATGATTATTGTTGTTAAAGTCAATAATTTATGTTAAATGTGAAATAGTTTTCTGCAAAGTTTCTTGGTGGTCCGGTTTTTATGGAGGAAAAAAGTAGTCGCAAGAACGAGTAAAGACGAGTTATCTGAGCTGAAATCGTGGAGGTATTCTCATGTTTCAAAATATCTTGGTGTAACCGAGGAACAAGAAATTTAGTGAGCTTCGGTTTTTTTAGATGTGTAAATACAGGGCATAACTTAAGATGTGTAAATACAGGACATAACATAAAAG